TGGTACTTCTCCAGCTTCTCATCCTCCTGCTCCCTGATGCTGCTGTCACGTGGCACTGCTACATCTATCACGATTGCTGTCTTCTGGACAAGACAAGAGAACCTGGAATATATATATATATATTATATATATAATATAAAACTATTAAATCTAGACTATATAGAAACATACTGCTCCATCGCCTCTTTTCTACAGTATAAAGACCATTCAAAAATCAACCAAGAATACATCTCTTGAATCCAATTCAATCTTTGACATCTGGAATGTTGTGTTCTTTCCATCTACATTAAATGATCCTCTGATACTACCCTAACTTTGGGAGCTCTTGATTGTCTGACTGATTACGTGCCACCAAGTTGCTTTTAACTCCTAACAAGCACATAGATAGCTTTTCTCCATGCTGATCTGCCCCTCACCTGATCTTTCAGGTCTTCCAACGGTGCATCTATTTTGCTGCTGGTTGTCCTCTTCTTTTTCCTTCCACCTTTCTCAGCTCCAGCTCCCTTCTCCAGAGAGCTAGCTCTTCACACAATATGTCCGAAGTAGGATAATTTGAGTCTGGTCATTTGTGCCTCAAGTGAGAACTCTGGGTTGATTTGTCCAATGATCCATTGTTTGTTTTCCGATTTGTCTGTTTTTTTGGCTGTCCATGGTATTCTCAGGAGTCTTCTCCAACACTAAAGTTCAAAGGTGCCAAGACTCTTCCGATCCTACTTCTTCAGTGTGCAACTTTCACTTCCGTAGAATGCCACAGAGAAGACCATGGCTTGCACGATTCTGACCTTTGTGGGTATAGACACATCATGGCATCTTGAATATGCTTCCCAAGGCCTTCATGGCTGCTCTACCAAGTGCTAGTCTGGGGTGTATTTCTTGACTGCTTGTGCCATCAGGAAATTCTTCCCAATATCTAACCTGAATATCTAACCTGCAGTTTCAACCCATTGCTTCTGGGCCTGCCCCCCAGGGTAACAGGGAACAAGTCCACTTCCTCGTCTAAATAGTAGACCTTTAGATATCTGAAGGTTGCTGTTCTCATATCTCGTCACCGTCTTCTCTGCTGCAGGCTAAACACACCCAGTTCCTTTTTACTCCAGACCTTTCACCTTCTTGCTCGCCTTCCTCTGCACTCAATCCGGTTTGCTAATACCCTTTTTAGATGGTGGTGCCTAAAACTGGACACCGAGCAGAGGAGAAAATGGGGCAATTACTCCCCATGATCTGGACTTGATGCTCCTGTTAAGACACCCCAAAGTAACATTTGCCTTTTAGCAGTTACATTGCACTGCTGGCTGATGAGCACAGATTCCTCCTTCCTTTATCTTAATAGTTCATTTCTGCATCTTTGGCAGAGCCAGTGAACTGCAGCCAGGAATTCTGGGAAGCTGTGTCCACAAGCTTGCATCAAACGTTCCCACCAGCAGGGGGAGCAATTGGCTCAGCAGGATCATGTGATTCAGAGCAAGGATTCACTGAATGTAAATTATGTGACCGTGTAACTTCTCTGCCTGGTTTTTGCAACTGTGAGCAATCAAAGTGACAGGGAAAGAGAGGTTCAAAGCAAAAGCCACATTTGTTCATTTTGGGTTAATTGCGTTTATTGTTTTACTTTATTTCTATGAGGTCTTTGTTGCTTTGACTTGTGAGCTGCTCAGAGTCCCCTAAGTGAGATGGGCAGCAATATAAATGGAATGAAATAGATAAAATAAATTTTTAAAAATCCCCAAAGCTGTTTAGTCCAGAAACCCTTGAAATAGCTGGATATCTCATTAAAAAGAAAGGGGTTCTGCAATCTATAATCACTAGTAAAGGATTTTGAAAATGGCAGGGAAAAACACAGCTTATGCCCTTTCCCCATAACTAATGCTTGAAGAATGGGGACATCAGCTTTCCAATCATGCTGAAAATATCTTTACTTCTGCCCCCACCATGCAGACCTCTGGTCAGCAGATAAAGGCGTGAAAAAAGGACCTAGATATACTGGTTGAGGTTTTCTGTGTCCCCAAAACATCCCTTCTGCTAACATGAAGGGGTGGACACAGAAGGAACAGAAATCCCACAGTCATAGATTGGATTGTGAAGTTGAAAAAAATCTCAGAAGAACTCCCGGCCAACCTCTTTCACACCGCTGGCCATAAAGCCACATAGATTCATTCCTGTAGTCAGGGTCGTCTGCTGGGGAGGGGAGATCTTGAAAAAGTCAAGGTAGTGTCTCCAATCAAAGCATTGACTCTTTTCTTGTTTGATAGAGAAAGGACAATAACTACATTTATTATTCTTTCTTTGCACTTTTTTTTCATTTACTTATTACTTTCCTTTCCTTACTTTTTTCTTTCAAAATTTGTATGGTTTTTATTCTTTTCAAAAAGGGAAACCCCATATGGACGTTTTGCTGAAAAAAGAAAAAAAATGAACGTGTGATTTATGAGTTTGATGATTAGAAAGAGTAGATTATGGAAAGAAGGAAATGATGTTGTAATTTTAGACCGAGAGGGCAAAATATAAATGTACTCGTAACTGCTGTTAAGAAGATCAGAAACTACTTCTTTATAACCTTTCCTTTCCTTTCCTTTCCTTTCCTTTCCTTTCCTTTCCTTTCC